GCTTTCTTTTAATACATATTGGAAAAAAACACCTCTCGCCTCATTACTGGTTTTTTTCCCTTTGACATTAAACATACTTCTTTTGACATTGAGTTCTTTAAATTTATAATTTTAAGAATTATCTTTCCATGTTTTGAAATTTTTTAAGAAAGAAGTTCTTATTATTTTGTTTTCTGTTGTATATAGTATTACATTTCAGTTTTTCATTTATTGCATTTTTTTGTTTTATTTTCACTCTTTGAAAAACAAATTTATTTTAACAAATATAATTTGATACTTTTAATATTATTACAAACCCAAAGTTTTTCTGCACTCATTTTAATTAAGCAGCAATTTTAGAGTTTTCAGCTAATCTATTGCTTGGAACAAGATTTTATAATGCAATTTCATAACTCCAATAATGTCAAAATGCATTAGCCATTTTATTATTCCATTAGCCATTCATTAATGCGTAACCCATTCCAATTCATTGATTCAATGTTTCATTGATTCGGATAATAGGAACACTGGAGGTAGAAAATGAGAGTATGTTTTGCGCCAAAAATAACTTCATCAATAAGCCTAAATTTTAACTTCATTTACACCTCATAAAATCATTCCCATATAGAGTTTAGCAATACTTTTAATTGAAATCGGATGAAAATTATTCTCCCCTCAAATATATTAAATTATTTGAAGTGTAGTAGGAATACCATACACATCTCAAAAACAGCAGGATACTGTATTGTAGAATTCTATCAGCCTCAAAACAACCTCATGTGCGAATATAATAACTTACAAATTGATTATAAACAGCTGAAGTTAAGTTTGTAAAGTTAAATTTTTAAGAACTTAAGCCCCCTGAAACACTTTGAAATTTTGTAAGGAACAACTCTTTATTTTTTCCTGCTTCTCCTTGTCGATTAACATATTTGTCGATAGACGCATCATAATTCATTACATTAATTTTAATGAGAATAATTAATTTTTAAGAGATACTATGTTACTTATTAAAGTACATGATAAGGACCTTCCTGTTCATTTGGTCCCGATTATGGAAGTGGTGGTGTGAAGTGTAGTCCAATTGTTTTATCACTTACTTCACTTTGAGACACCGTGACATTAGCTGTGATTGCAAAGGGATAACTTAAATGTCTTTTATCTCTCTAATTGTCATAAAACGCTAAATAGGAGATCTTTTTGCGCATGTAGGTGGTCTTCTAAGAATTCTTACTTTTTATCATTTTTCATCATTTTCAATGTATGATCTGCTATGAAATATACTCTCTCAAATTAGAAGCTTAAGTGTATGGATTCAAATTTTGGAAACATGGATACTCTTGGTGCCAAATAAGAAAGTGTTGTCATACGAAAATATTTTTATGACTTATAATTATTATCAAAAGAATTTTTGATTAATAATAAATTTTAATTAAGAAATTAGGATAATTTATAAAACAGTGTAATTCCTTTATTAAAGTATATTCTTATACAATTTAATAATATTTAGTGTTCATTTCTTCATTAATAATAGTCTATGAGAAAATAATAAGGATATTAATTCTTTGCGGAGAATAATTTCGTATTTCTATTTCTTTTCCCCATATTTTGATACACAGTTAAAAATGAATTATTTGAACATAGAAGTACACAAAACCACATTAAACATTTACTTTAAAAATAATAACAACAATCTTTTCTCCGAAATGTATTAAACAGTTATAAATAGCTGTGGGGCACGAATTAAAGTATTCTTTTGATCTTGGTTTATGGAACATTGTATAAACATTGGGGAATATTGTATAAACATTGAGGGGTACATAGTATGAACATTGTGTTTGTTTTACCTTGAATAAAATAGTATATAGCTTTTAATTAAATTTGGTTGGTTAATAATAATCTCAAGTTAAATTAGCTAAGAATAATTCTAAAATTTTCAATTACTTAAGTCGATCAAGCTTCTTCTAAATGCTGAAACTGCTCTTTGAGGCAATATTTACGTACACAGTTAGAATTACTTTAAAGTTATGTAAATTGTAAAACTTAGAATAATATTATAAAGCTAAAATCAACCGAGAGTTTAATTCGGTAACACAATATTCAATGCTAAAATTCATGTTCTTAAATTATGGTAAAATAGCCAGCAGCAGTCTGTTCACTCAACTAACCATAAAGTTTACGATAGAGGAACATTTTTTTTTCCTTTCGCGGTTTTGAAACAAGTATGGTCAACAAGCAAACCGAAACAAGTATGATTTTTTTTACCATTTACAACTAGCATGGTTTCAAAACCTTAAAAACGAAATTTAATTGGATATCAGAGCTATGAATTTCATTAGATAATGGTCATTGAAGTTTAGTTGCGGTTGAGTTGTGTTTAATCATATGAATCGTAAAATGTAGTTTAATTAGCTTATCTGTTTGGTTTTTTCAACTTTGAGAAATACTAGACTTTTCATGTTATTCCAGGATCAGATATTGAGGAGTTCAGAATACTTGAAACTCTTCTTTTTTAGGAAGGAAGCAATATTGAAAGGAAGCAATATTGTGGTATCAACGCTGATTATCAAACTCTTTTTCTGTTTGTCATCTGTTCTGTTTGCCCAGCTGTAAGGGACTAAGTGACTTCATTAGGTGGACCTAGTTGTTGCGATAAAACTCTGTTTTTTACGCTATATAAGTGAAAACAGTTAATAAACTGTTTTTCTAACAGTTAGCGATTTGAATATCATCTTATTTATGGTTATTTGACTATTTTGTTTGAATATGGTAAACTGACAATTAAATTAATTGCTATTTAACTATTTTCCTGGAAATTTCTAATAGTATAAAGTGGCTAAAATTGAGGTGGTTACTTTGCCTCTGATAATTCTAGATTAACTGCACCAGCATAAGTTACGAAGTCTTAATTGAGAATAAGAAAGTAAAGTAGCATAAGGTGTGTGACTTGAAAGCGCATAACGATTTCAATTGTGGATTTATTAATAGTTAGTATCCTTAGAACGTTCAATTTTGCTGTCTTGCACAGGTTTTTTGCACCATAAATTTTTATTTTTTCCTATAATAATTGCTTCACACATAAAATATTTTCCCTCAAACCTTAAAATCTTTTGAAGAGCTTCTTTTGCTTTTGAAGTGCATTATTTATAAAATATTTCAGAAAAAAATATTTCGGAATGGCTTTTACGTTTAAATGACAACATTAAAATATTTTGTCTTCATTGAATTTTTTTTTTTGAATTACTGCACGGGAATAAAAATGAAAATTTTTTAGTAAAAATATTAATTTAAATTTTGCAATATTTAACAATTTTGTTATAATTAACAATCATTGCAATAATTTACAATTATTGTAATAATTTAAAACTAAGTACCGCGTGGTAATGACATTTCTATCGAAAAAGAAAAATCTTAATTCTGTTTGATAAAACCGAAATATACGGTATTTAAACCCATCATTTAGTAATTTTTTCGTTTCCAAGATTAAGTTTTGCCGAAAACTCTGGTTTTCAAAATTATTTTTCACTTTTCCCGACGTTTAGTAAAAAATAAAAAATTCTAAATTAACTTAAACCGAATAAATGATCTTTAACTAAAATGCTTCGCCTTCATACAGAAAACATTCAAAATGGTTGTTTTAAGTTATTTTTTTAATCAGAAATCAAACTTCACTGATTAGCAATTTCCTTTTATTTCATTACAGCTGTTGAAAAACCTGACCCAATATATTGTTTGACAAATTCTTTCAATAACTATTTGTTTTCTCATATATTAGCTTATAGTTATAAAATATTTAAAGACTGGAAGAATAGTTTTTTTGAGCATACTATATGTGTTATAACTATTAATTATATTTTCATAAATTTTTTTATTTACGTTTAACCTAAACTCATATAGAAGTTACAAAAGTTTCTAAAGTTGATTTTAAAATGTTACCAATTTGAAAAATGTATTCTCCAAATTTCTTTATATATAGATAAACTTATCAGATGTCACTTGCTTATTGATTAAAATATATAAACAAGCCAATTTTAAATATTAGCCATTTTTTTTTTCAAATTCAGTTTTGTATCTACAAAATATAATTTTTAAACAAATAATTTGTTCATACGACTAATTTGTTAAACGTCTAAAAAAACAAAAAACTGATCATGAAAACAAAAGTTAATTTGATTGTTTTTATGGTAATATTTCTTTTCATTTATATCTGAAATAAATGTTAATATACTTTCTTTTTAATTTTTATCTGTCTTCCAATTATCCAAAAATGCTAATTTATTTATAATACATCATTATATTTGTTTTAAATAAAGAATAAGAAAACAAATAATTAGATACATAAACATCGATAACGTTTATAAATTCCCGAAACGAATAAATTGCTAAACTATTTAGAACAAGCATTTCATATCTCAGTAAATAAGAAGAAAGAAAAATTAATCGTATTGGAATATAGCAGCAAAGATACACGAAAATAAATAAGAAAAACGCGATCTCATTTCGTTTAAATAATTTATCAATTGTTTTTCAGCCGCAAAAAAAAGCGTATCATAAACATTATCTACAATGTCTCCTTAACCATAAATATTAAAACTTCATTTTTACTCATTTTGTCTCGCCTGTTTGAGGCATTATTTATTTCTTACTATATCAGAGAGTACTTTTTTAGTATGCACACTCGCCCGAAACTGGTACATAGCGCATTTATAAGCGAAGAAAACAATAATATGGAAATTGATTCCTCGCTTTTTTTATTTTATTTTTTTTATCTTTCTTTACAAAAAGCAGTAAAACTACAACCATTGTAAACAATAATCGTGAGCAGCTTACACCCGCGAGCTGCTCTTCAAATATACATTTACATGAAAACAATACACCGATTTGCCGCATACTCACGAATCTCGCCAAACACTCGCTAAACTGAAGACCGATGCTCCCAACTTATCGCTTCTTGCGGCGAGATCTTGGCGTGGATCTCTTGGCGCAATGTGACAACCCTACCTTTGTGAGAGAAACGATCGACCGGCCAGTACCGTTCGAGTCCTGCCAGGAACGTAACGGGACTATCCGCAGTGCATGCGCTGATCCGCATCTTTGGAACTTATCCGCCTGTGGAAAAAAGGGGGTTAGTTTGCACCCCCTTGTTGTCCTAATCCATGTTGTGATTCAGTTTGAATCCGAAGCATTTTATTAGCTCTCCTATTTAGGGATACCTATGTAAAAATACTGCTCCGCATGGAATAATAAATTATCCACGCTCTGATCAATTCCATCTTTTAGATTAAAAGATATATTGTTTTCCAGAAATACATTTTGCTTCATCGTGATGGATTTAAGTGAAAAGTCGGTGAACTTTTGCAAATATGGATATTTTTGTTTACATTCTCTTTCTACTTCGGATTTTAAATCAAACGGAGTAAAATAAAGCGTTCGAAAATAAAAGATTTTTAGGAAATTTTAAAACTCGTTTTAAAATTGTATCCTTTTTCCTGGGGTGGGAATATTATTATTGCTGTTGATACAAAGGATACAGTTTCTAAAACTTATATTTCCTTCCAAAGATAGAAACTGATATTTCTAAATCTCGACATAATTAATGTGCTATTTTGTTTAGATGTTTTTAAAGTGGGAATTGTGAACTTTTGTGGACAGTGTTTACTTTGTGAAACACTTCTATTAATGCACATTCAGCTTCATGCAGATTAAATAGTCTTGGAATTTTATAAACAAGGAGTGATACGAAAGATTTTTTGTGGATTTTTGACATTATATCTTTGTGAATATGAAATATTTTTGCCAAAAACAAAGAGACAGAATGAATCTATTATCTGTGGTTAGGATAACATTATTCTGCACTTTCATTGCCTTGGAGCTTAGCTACTCCTTCGGCAGAGCAGAAGGTAAGAACTATAAATCTTTTTTTTTGTTCAGCACTATTTTTTTAATCAAAAAAATTTGAACGTTGTGTTTTTATGAATATTTCTTACATATCTATACCTATATACTTGAATTTCTTTAACAAAACAAAGAGCAAATATCCGCGTGAATGGTATATTTTCAAATCTTTAATTAAAAAAAGGGAATACTGATTTTTTTAAAAAGAAAATAAAATTCCATTTTAGAGCTGAGTTGCCAGAAATTTTAATTCGTTCAACCTTTACAGTACTAATTTCAAAATATTGCTTTAATGTTTAAGACGGGGTAACGCTGACCCCATAGTTATCTATAATGTTAAAGCGTAAGAAGTGATCTAAAGATAAATTATTATTTCTGGCAATGATCATTTATTAAAAACAACAAAACACATTTTTTATATTTCAAAAATTTAAATTAGCTCAAAATATTATATAGTTTTTCAGGATATTAAAAATGTATTGTAACTGCCTTCAGTTCTATTGCTCGTTTTTATAGTAACCAATTCCTAAAATAACAGGTTAATTTATCATAAATTTTTTATGTTTGATGCAGTTTGAGTAAATTTGGTCCCCCTTTCTGAATGAGGACACATATCTTGTTTTTTTTTCCAAGATTTTTTTTTCGTTATCAGATTCGATGTTAACAAGCAAATCAAAATGTACAAAATTTAGTAAATGAACATAATTATGAAAGGAAATTTTGCGAGAGATTTTCAATAAAATCTTTTTAGTATACATTTCCTATAGCGCAAAACATTCCAAGAAATATGCAGATATAGTTAAATCAAACTTGCTTTAGAAATTCATAGGTGCTCTCTTCAAAAATACTAGAGATTTCAGAAAATCATAATTTTTACAATTCTTAAATTAGTTTTGACATAATTTGCAGAGCTAATTTTTAAGATAATACTCTAAAGTATGCCTTGAAAAATAAATTTGGGCCGTCTTCAACTACAATATTACATTTTAATGGCAAAACAAGTTAACTTAAAACTATAATAAAATTACATAGTCTTGTCTGCGCATACGCGAGTACTTTATTGGTTAAAATACTACATAAAACCTACTTTTTACGGTTTTGAAAATTGAGGAAGATTTTCGAAAATTTCAATGAAAATAATATAAGTATGATCATGATGATAAGTATGATATATATATATATATATATATATATATTAGTATTTGTGTCAAATTTCTAATTGTGGATTATAAAATATGTTTAAAAAAAGACTGCATTTTGAGTGGAAGTTTTATCCCTACAATTTCACTTTGATTTCTGTAAGAATTTTTTCAAATATTTTGCAGAATATCTATTATTTTAACTTAATGATAACATTTATGTAAATTAAAATGCTTTAAAAAAATGTAGGTCAATTATACTGTCAAATTTGTTTTTTTTTTTTACTTTTTTGGTTGAGTTAAAAAATGCTACTTAAACGCCTGCGATGAAATTACGAATGTTTAAGGGACATAATTTATTTTGGTAAAGTTTATATCTTCATTAGCGAACAACGAGATATTTAGAAAAATTTAATAAAAGGAAAAATAAGAGGAAAAGAAGAAAAACCAATCAGATTAAATTTCCATAACATTCCAAAAAACATAAAAAAATAATAAAAAAGTACTATATAAAACTGAGTGGTAAGGATTTGCCGGAAATTTTGGTTTTCGCATTATAGATTTAATTACAACACATTAGTGTTAAAAAAAGACATCAAACTCAACAAAATAAATGGCTTTTATGCATGGCACAAAAGTGTCATTATAAAGTTACCAAATGATACCGCATTTATCAAATTTCAAAACGATGTTTTACAGTTAATTTTACCGAAATCATTACTGAAGTGCTTTGATAAAAATTGTCGAATTTTTTAGCATTCCCATAGAGTCTGAAGCACGGTAAATTTTACCATATACAGGTAGTTTTAAACACATTTTTTTCGCTGTGTAGAAAAAGCAAGAAAAGTACAATGTGAAGAAATTATTTTGATAAATGTATTACTAACATTATTATGAGTAATGTATTTGCGGAAGAAGTAACTGAGAAAGTGTTTCTCTCTGCATCTATTAAATTATCAAATTATCCTTCACAGCAAGGAATAAAGAAAACTAAAACTATGATAATAGTATTTATTGGTATTAAGTAGCTCATAACTACTCGTGTAATATTTAATCATATTGCAATCTATCTTCTAGCAGCATTGATTAACATCCATTGAGCTAAAGAATATTTTGCCTAACTTCGTTTTGCTGAACCTTATTTCCCCGAGTTGTATGTGTTTTCTCTGCAGTACAAACAAAAGGTTAAGGGAAACTAGTGCACACAGGGAAAGCGTCGATACAGAGTCGGTTTGGGCTTAAGGGCAATTCGAATCCATTCGCAGATACTCTCCAAATGCTAACTTTATTAAACGATGCAAATAACGAAGTAGTCACAGCAGTTGATAAATGAATTAGTTAAAATAGATGAACTACATCTTGCAATTTAATTAGATGTTTTGTTAAAAATTTTATTCAATTTAACAGGCAAAATATTTTATTTATTGCTCTCACAACATAATTCTGACAAGAGACAATATTTTATGTCTCTTTGTTTTAGTTTGCTTTACTCGGTTCACTAAATAGTTTCCAGTAAATTGAAAGTGTTTTATGAAGTTTATAATTTGAATGTGTTAGTGTCCTATATTTACCATAAATAATTAAAACTAAGTACGTCTGCGTTTTATTATTTTTTAAAAATTATTTAGAAAATGTTTAACTTCACCTTATTTTCTTGATAATAATCTTGGACGTATTTTATCAGCATTTTCAAGCTATTCTAAAATTTGAATAAATTAACATAATCACGAGTATTAAATAGTACATTATAATTCTTATAATTCAGTGATTAATTTAATCGTAACTTCAAACAAATATTTTAAGACTTTTAGTATTGATCAAAATTTTGAAAAACTCTCTCAGATTCGATACTTAAATAATGACAAAAAATATTATTTCTTTATTAATACGTAGCTAAGAAAAAATAAACGCATAAATGCAGTAAAAATAAGTTTTAAAAACTTTATCTTCTTTTCAGAAAGAAATATTTCAATCATTTTGGAACACATCTGCGTTTTCAACATTTTTGCACACATTATAAGATACATTTACAGCGTTTATTTGATCCACGTTATTATGCACAAAACTGGAAGGCATGAACAAATAGAATTTGCAAAGCTTAAACAACTCCACTTTATTTATTTATTTATTATTGTATGTTTCGCTATGTCGATACGTTATTAGAATAAGCAAAACGCGATATAGAAGTACATTTCATAAATACCATACCTCATGATGCTACAGCTCAAGTCAAACTCATGACAAGTAAAATTTATCACAATCGAAAAATTTTCTTCGCCTGATATTTATCCTTTTAGGAAAGATAGTTGACCAAATAATATGGTACCTGTGAGAGGTTGTTGAGACAGAGAGAGCTGTGAGAGAGTAGTAAATATGGTTCCTATTAAAATAGTCTCAATTTCCTTAATGACAGTAGTAACTATTTCAGAAAAAGATTAATCGTCTTTTACGTCAATAATAGTATTGATAATTCTTATAGTTTTCCTAAGAGAATAAGTCTATTTTTTTCTATAGCTATACTTTTTAGTTGATTATTTTTTTCCAATTATTGCTAGTTTCAAATTATTTAGTCTTATGGAAATACTTTTTAAACTCATAACAATAAACAAAACTTATCTGCTGTTTTATAAACTTTGAGAAAAACTAATCAGGAATGTAGACCTCATATGCTATTCACATTTATCATCGAATGCTTTTGACATGACGAACAATTAAAAATTAATTACTAAATATCTGAAAAAAACTAATTTTTTGATTGAATGAACCTGTAATTTAGCAAATATCACTGATTTGGCAAATATCTCTCTATTAAATATTATAAAGAAAAAAAACAGACTCGTCTACAGTTTATTAGCAATGACTTATTCTGAACAAGAAAAAAACATTTCTTTCTAAACTTTTTTGTTAAAAAAACCAAATGGAATTTTTAAATAATCTTTTCGGATGTTGGGTCCCAATGTCCCCCTTTTTGCAAGCGAGAACAAACTGTTTTAGAAATATAAGAGAAGCACACAGATGGACAAATAAACAAGTTTATAGTTTTTGTTATAGAAATATATCTTAAACATAAACTAGTATTGCAAGTCTATTTAATATGTATATACCTAGAACAAATATTATAAGGTTAAACAATGTGCCCATTCAAAAAATTACAATTTATTATGTTTATTTATTCAATACGTTTTAATACTGCTTAGCTTAAATTATGAAATTTATTACTAAATAAATACTATTCATCCATTTTATAAGATTTTGAATCAACTGAATCGAATAACAATGTATTTTAGAAGAACTCAAAAAATCTGCGATGAAAATGAGTGATAAAATATGTCTTATGCTGAAAAATTTTTTCACAATAGATTGTATTGTGAATTAAAAGAATATTGTAAAGTTATAACAATGATATAAACATTAACAACCTACTGTAGTTAAAATGTATGAAATTAAAAAGGAAACTATTAAGCGGCTATATTAATCCCCCTGTCTTTTTATTATATATCTTCCAAATGTATGCTTATCAAATTCCATTAACTTTATTTACTGTAACATCATTTATTAAGAAAATAAAAATAAAAACATTCTTGAATATAGTTCAAAAGGAAAGCAGCAGTTGAATTCTCTTTTTGAGAAAATATTATTTCTTTTCTTATCTAAATAGATATTACTTTTTTAAATCACAGTTTGAATAAACATTTTATATGATTAAAGGTATATAATATTTAAAAAAGTAATAAAATATATTTATTCAATATAGGTTTATGCTATTTATTTTCTTTTAAAAGCCTTAAATCCTTNTTTTCTTATCTAAATAGATGTTACATTTTTAAATCACAGTTTGAATAGACATTTTATATGATTAAAGGTAT